GGTTTGGGTGTTGGGGTTTGGGTTTTGGGGTTTGGGGTTTGGGGTTTGGGGTTTGGGTTTGGGGTTTGGGGCTTGGTGTTTTGATGTTTGGGGTTTGGGGTTTGGGGCTTGGGGTTCGGGGTTTGGGGTTTAGGGAGTAGGGAGTGAGGAGTAGGGTTCCGGGTTCAAGTTTCAAGGTTCAGGGGTCAAGTTTCAGATTTCAGGGATTAGGGAATAGGGAATAGGGAATAGGGAATAGGGAATAGGGAACAGGGTTTGTGTTTCATGGTTTAGGGTTTAAGTTTTAGAGTTTAGGGTTTGGCGTTGGTGTTGGTGTTTAAGGTTTTGGTGTTAGGGTTTAGGATTGATGGTTTATGGTTTATGGTTTATGGTTTATGGTTTGTGGTTTGTGGTTTATGGTTTATGGTTTATGGTTTATGGTTTATGGTTTAGGGGTTCGAGGTTAGGGGTAAGGGTTTGGGGGTTACGGGTTAGGTGTTAGGGGTTAGGGGTTAGGGGTTAGGGTTCCGGGTTCAGGGTTCCGGGTTCCGGGTTCAGGGTTAAGAATTGAGGGTTATGTGAGCCTCGGTCGGACAGGTGACGAGCCTCGGTGGTTGAATGAGAAGGTGTCTTTGGTCTCGCTCGTGCGTCGGGCCTTGGCCTCTGCGGCCTCTCTCCTCCCAAGCGGTGTCTCATCTGGTAGCGAAGGTTGTTCCGAGGACTCTGTTCCTCGAAACGACCAACGGATGGGATTAGCGATTAGCGAGTAGGGTTTAGGGAGGGTTCAGGGTTCAGGGTTTAGGGTTTAGGGTTTAGGGTTTAGGGTTTAGGGTTTAGGGTTTAGGGTTTAGGGTTTAGGGTTTAGGGCTGGGGGTTTAAGGTTTAGGGTTTAGGGCTTAGGGTTTAGGGTTTAGGGCTTGGGCTTTAGGGTTCAGGGTTTACGGTTGAACCCACACACACACCGTCAGCTGGACAAGAACGAATGCATTTCTAGAGATCGAGAGCAGAGCAATGTCGCAGCCCACGACAAGCAGGCCGTGTTGTGTTTTTGGAAATACCTCCAGCTCCATCTGGGCCGCGTCCATGTCACCTGGACTTAGGTTTGAGGGTTCAAGTTTCTGGGTTGAAGGTTGAGGGTTGAAAGTTTAGGGTTCTAGGGTTTAGGGTAGGGCTCAGGGTTTGAACTACTTGAGGGGCGGTTGGGGGTGAGGAAAGCCCAGGCGTGCTAGACGAGTGTCCGCGCGTCGTTCTGAAGCTGGTCAGAATGTGGTCTGGACAGCGATATCTCAGCCAGTGGTTGTCGCTTGGTGGCGCTCGAGAGCAAGGTGCCCCTGCCCAGTCACACAACACCTCGGCGCGGCCGGCGAGCGGCACGAGCCGCTGCTGGCTCTTCTACACGTGGCCCCATCTTGCCAGCTATCCCCTCCCTGCTCCCGTGCATGATCTGCTGCGCGAATGCTCTGCTGCGTGCATGCTGCGTGTGCATATGTTCTGCTGCGTGCTTTACTGCCCGTATGAGCGCCCCCCCCCCCCC